CTACAACACAGGCTGTTCACTGCATTTTCAGTTGTGTTCTGAATAAATTCTATCTCCCTTTATTCAACAAAGTTATTAAAAGAATAATATGGATACCATTCTACCATCAACATTGGTGATTTGAAGAAGTTAGCAAGCAAGGCTTATTTGTTTAATAACATACAAGTGACACTTTCTATGTGCCAAAATAAACTGTGAAGATTTAAAATATCAATAACATCAACTTAACCCTAAAAAAATATTGATTTTTTTTGCTTATAAACACATTGAGAGAGGCTAAGGTTATTTATCTTACCCAAGCTAGCAAAATCAGTAATCCTACAAAGCTGGCAAAGAGACAGTTACAGAGATCAAGGAGATGAAGGCAGATGTTAACTTGTTATATTAATTACTGACAGAAGTTCGGAGATTGGCTATGAGAACAATCTGTGACTGCCTAATGCTCACAATAGAGTTGTATTAACCATTCCAACCTTGGACTTCTCAACAGAACAGAGACAGGCTACCTAGTAGAGAGCACAGAGGAAGCTGACCTCTACAGGCCTGTGTTTATTCCCAAGTCAGACTTTGGTCATAGACTCTTACCCTCCTTTGAACTGAATGACTAAAGGATTAGGATAAAGTTCTGGAATGTGACTGAGTAAACATCACTCTATATAGAAAGAGAAAGAGGGAAGGACTGTGTTCTTACTAGACACTCTCACTGGATATATTCAAGTTTCATTCCTGCCTCTTTCAGAATGCTCAAATTTTCTCATTTAATATCTGGTAGGTTTAGTAGGCAGAGAAGTGCATGAATCTCACTGTGAGTGATTCTGTTTTTATTTATATTTGTTTTGTTTTGTTTTAGTTTGGATTGGTTTATTATTTTTATTTTTTTAGGCACGGTTTATATTGTATCCCTGACTGTCTTAGAACTTGCTCTGTAGACCAGGCTGGCCTCAAACTCACAGAGATCTGCCTGCCTTTGTCTCCAGAGTGCTAGGATTAAAGGTGTGCACCACCATCACACACCTGATTCAGTTCTAAATTGAAATTTTTATTTCTAATATTTATTGGTTTTTTTGAGTATTTTGTGCAATGTATTTTGATCATATTCACCTCCATAACCCAACATCCCTGAGATCCTCGTGCCTCTCAAGGCATCCAATATTGTGACTTTTTTTTTAAGTTAAGTATGATTGTACTACCTGTGTGTTCTTAGATGTATGCTCTTACACTGGTGCTTAGTTGATCTAGCAGGTCCAACCCTCCAGGAAAACCAATTTTTCCTCCCCCAGTACATATCAGTTGTGAATTGCTCCTTGTTTGTGGATAGGACTTTGTGCTCACATCCATCTCTACCTTGAGATTTAGTCTGGCTTGAGCTTGGGCAGGTCTAATGCATGCTGTCACTACTTTTAGTTCCTATGTGCACATGTTCCTCTTCCTCAGTGAAATTTTAACATTTCTCTCTGTCCCTGTCCTCATCTTCATCTCTTGTGTATGTGGGTGTGTGGGCATGTGTTTATGTGGGAGGGGGGTTGTCGGTCTGTCTTTGTCTTTCTCACCCACTTCCTCGGCTTTTCAATATTGTTGGTAGGATTTTTACTGGGCAATTTATTTTTACTATTACATATGTAGGAGGCTAAATACTTTATAATTTCTTACTGTTATCACTGAACTATACAGAGCGAGCTTACACTTTTATTTTTTTCCTAAAAATACATTTATTATTATAAAAATATATTTATATTCATGTATATCACAGAATATTTTGGAGGGTATTTGATGAATCATATTCATGAACTCAGTATGTATTAATTAACTGTCTCATTGGTGTTAGTTTGAATGCATTAACATTAAACTCAAGATTTAGCAATAATGCATATGAAAGGAGAAATTAAAATCCCTTCCCCTTGGAATAAGATAAAGCCCAGATTTTAATTCTCTACTTCTTTCTCTTTGTGTTCTGTCATTTTCTGCCTGCATTCTGCCCATTTTATGAGTCTGAGCTGGTGCCTGCCTGACGTCAACTATATTTTCTGTCCTTCTGCCTCTCCTTTTGTGCCATAAACAAAGGGCTTTGATCTCTCTTGTATTGGACGGCACATAAAGCATCTCAGAGGGAAGAAATGAGGGACACTTTACAGAAGGCTTCAATAGCACTTATAAGAAATTAAGTACCTGAATCCAACCGAACCATATAACATACAAATAAATGCTATTAAGCAATATCCATATGTTACTTCCAACATTTCCATTGGATATTAATTTTTATAAAACTGCTTTTACTCTATTTTCTAATTTCAACATATATTACTAGAACATACATGTGCACATGTATTACTCATGGGGCAGAAGCATGGAAGGCTATATATATAATTTAAGATTATAGCTATGCACTAGCTTCGGCTGTAAAAGTTGATTATACAGGAAATCCAAGGCAAATGAGGTTGGATGTTATGTTGTAATCTTAAAGGAAGGCTAAAGATGCTGTCTAAGGGCTCAGTAGGATATCAGTCTTATGTCTAAGTGACCTCAAGCTGTATTACTAACTTTGGCTCTGAGATCATTAAAGTCCAAGTCTCTCAGATTGTAAGATATATTTTCATAAACTCATACTACCACATTACACTAAGACATAAAGTGAAAATAGTAATGCAGAGATATTCTTTTATTAGTAAAGCGAGTTTAAAAGAAGTGTAATGGTTTGGAAGTTTGATTCTTTTTGCTCCAATATAATCTAGACAGAACTGATGAATGTACATTTTGATTAATTTTTATTTTTTTAATGTTATGTGCATGAGCATTTTGTCTTGATATATGTAAGTGTACCTTGTGTGTTCACGATGCCTGAAGCAGCTAGAAGTGGATATATCACCCTTGGAACTGGAGGTACAACTGTTTGTGCCTTGCTATATGGACACTCACATACTTGGATCCTCTATAAGTCAGAGTTGCTCTTGACTCCACAGCTGTCTCTGCAGCTCCAATATTTTAAGAGAACGTACTTAAACTCAACTGGTACACCATCCATATTTGTTTAGTGAATGAATGAATGATAACTAACAAAATATTAGAAATTCCTAGTAGCTTTATTTTCCCTAAGCCTTGTCTTTGTGGTTGAGATAATCACTTCTAACTTCTTGAAGTACTTTTGCCAGATGCTTTTCATTTATCTTTTCTAGATGCATCCCTAATGCTAATTCATTTAAGAAATCTTCCTAGTATGACATTTGACATATAGCTCCTGTCACAGAAAAAAGTACAGTGTTCTGTTTTCAGTAGTAACATTGAGAATCATTCCTTATTCCTAGCTCTAGTATAGAAATATAACTCTCCATATTTGGCATCAAACAATTAAACATCACTTCAATCAAACAATGGCTAATGCCATTGTATTTCATCAATAAATAGAAAGCTTTTCTCTTTCTTTGTGTGGGTGCATGTATGATTTCATATGGGTGAGTACACATTTGCATGTGTGTGCTCATAATCATATGTATGCACACAGAGGCCAAAGGTCCAGCTGTGTGTCATACTCAATTACTCCCTTCCTTACTTTTTGAGACAGTCTCCAAAGCCAGAACACACATCTTTAGCTAGGCTCTTTGGCCTATGAGGTCCAATTTACCTGTTCCAGCTCCATAGAGTTAAGATTACAGATTTATGCTGCTGTAAAAATTTGGCTTTTACATGACTTTCTGAGGATCTGAACATAGGTTCTCATGCTTACACAGCTGGTAATTTATTGGCTAACCAAACTCCCCAGCAGACAGATGGTATTCTCACCTTCTAACATTTGAGTACCATTATTAAAAGGTAGGTGTTAACTCTGCTATTTTTATGTTCAGTCTGGCTGTGGGCATGCTTACAGAATTTTTTAAATTCTGCATCATATGACATTTTTCCTGCAAATAAGTTTTGGGTTTTTTGTTCTTAGTAACACAGCTCTGTCTTCCCCCTGTTAAAAATCACAACTTCCAAAAGAACTGCCATCTTAAACCTAAGTAAGGTCAATACAAGGCAAAGGATAACATAGGAACTGAAAGAACATAGAGAATAAAGACTTTCTTTGAAAGTACAGACTTTCCACTAAAGAATGTATTCAGTACTCTACATAGATGTAAATTTTCACTTAACAGTTTTTATAATTTCTGCAGAAGAAGATTCAAGATTTTACTTTTCTGAGGATTTGAACTCAACTTTATTGCAGCACTAGATCTTATTTTGTACTTGATTGTCATTTAAATAAGAGTATTAAGAAATAGGCTTTCACATAGTAAATTACACCTCTGTTATTGTAACTCAAAAAATAAAAAAAAATATAAAGACTTAAAATTGTGTAAAATTAATCTTGAGCTTTCTTCCATGGCACCAACTTCCTTTCAGACAAGAACATATATACACTTGTCATGAAATAAAGGCTATTGTGTCTCTAGGTATATTCAGCTATTGCTTAGATTGTTTCTAATACAAGGGGTGCTAGAATATCTGTGTATTCACATTAAGATATGTATTTGTATGAATCCATGTGAATCCTGATTATGTTACTTATCTAATTTGCAAAATGTTATTTCATGGAAAAAGAAATTTCTTTAATTGAATAGAATAAATCTACAACCTCACATAAGTTTTAGTGTTATTCAAATAAGACATTTATACTCTTACCCTTGTATTTCAAATGTGATCATATATACCGAATAAATAATACTATTTGTTCTTTTATCCAAGTAAAGTATAGGACTACGCATTCTTCAAGTTAAATCTTGGCTTTTTTTCTACTCTAGAAGTCTGGTCATACAAAGATCTCTAAGCATTACAGTAGAGTATACCCTATCATAAGTCAGCTTGGGCTTTTCCCATTGGGAAATTTTTTTTCTCTTACTCAAAAAATAAAATGAAATGAGGAAAACCTGGTATTGTTAAGGTCACATTAATCTATAATAAATTAGCTTTTAATGTGCTAAATATTAAGTCCACCCCAAAAGCTCATCACTCTTCATTTTACGCTTCAGGTAAATGAGTCTGGGAGACAGATAGCTAACCAGGAAGCCGTCAGTCTTCAATGCCCAGATGTAGCATAAAAGAAACGGACATTAGCTGAAGCTCACAGTAATCTCAGAGGATCTTTACAGGTATTGGCTCAGCCATAAATTGACAAAGAACCTTGTTTGCCCTCAGCTGTCAAGAACCATAAGAAAAGATGTTTAAAAGGTTTTGAAAAACTAATGCATGGTCATTTCTGTAAACACCCCTGGTGGCACACTGCTTGTATTATTTCCGTCTCCTGGAAGCACTGTGAATACAAGTGCTAAAGTTTCAGAAAGAGATTTTCATAGTAATAAATATTCCATCCCCAATTTCAAATAATCCTCAGGTTATATTTAAGAGTTATCAGAGGAGTTATATTGAAGACATTTAACTTTATATTGAGGAGTAAATGTATCTAACACTGAGTAGTGATAGTATTCCTGAAATTAATGTCATTCTTATTATATAACTGTTAAAAATTAATTATATGTTATAAATTGACTATTTTATAGACTGGATCTTAGGTTCTATGAAACTGAGATTCATCAAGTTAATATCTAAAAAGTTCCCTGCAGTAATAAATCTCAATATTAAAACTTTACCCCCTTTATTAGAATTAGTCACTTACATACACAGCCTTATAAGGACACAATGAGAGTATTTTTTATTAATCTTTATGATATCATGTAATTTTTCTTATTCATTGGTTTTATTTTCAAGTGAAATTTCATGTCAACTACATCAGTTTCACCTGTTTTAAAATAGCACGTTAATAACATTTCTTAAAACACCTTATAATAAATTTATACAATTTAATATTTTGCCCTTTCATTGATACTAGCTCTACATACTTATCTGGTGGCTCATCCCTGGAAGAAAACTGATTTTACATCTATCAACAGTCATTAATTTTATGTAACTTGACATCAACTAGTGCAGCCTTGTGTGATTTACTATACCCGCACTGGCATGTCAACTGATGTTATTATTGGACAGATATTGCTAGGAAACCTGTTGGTATTTCACTGGAACATCTTTCCTGTCATATATAGAAAACACGACATCCCAGTCGATGTCATGATTATCATGCTTTTATGACCTTTCCTCCCACGCTTCCATTATCTTCTCCCAGCCTTAGGTGTATGGTTGCATTGTTGGTATATCAATTTTGGTTGCACACAGCATAGTCACTTCATTGTCCTCTGCATTTCCAACAGATGTAGATTACTGTAATGGTCTATATATGACTTGAAAGGAAATGTCTTTAATTAGGGGTGATAGCTACCCCTTATCTATGAGTATAAAGGTAAGTATTTAGAATGCAGTTAGGAACTAGAATAGTTTAGGAAAGTGGCAATAGTAGGTTTTCCTCTAAGGTACTTATCCTTGCCAGCACTAGATATGTGGCTATATTTACAGTATCAGTCATTAATTCCCTTCTATTGAGCAGGTCTTATAAAACTGCCCCGTTATACCCTTGAGATAGTGAACATGAGAAGATGAACATTGTGGTGATATTTTATTTGTATGTTAATAAATAAAGTTTGCCTGGAGATCAGAGGACATAGATAGCCATCCATAAATAAAAGTCAGGCGGTGGTAGCACATGCCATTAATCCGATCACATGGCAGGCAGAGTCTCTGTGCTTTCAAGTACACAGCCAAGCATGGTGACACACACCTTTAAACCAGTACCAACCACAGAGACCTGGAGGTCTGTACAGACAGGCAATGATGAAGAAGTGAGGTAGCTGGACTAAGAGCCAATGAGAAGGCAGAATAGCAAAGCAATAAAGCCACAGGTTAGACAGAAAGAAACTGGTTCTCTTGGGAAGCTAAGGCAACATGGTGAGCTAAGGTTAGTTGGTGGCTATCACTATTGCTCTGATCTCTGTGGCTTTCATCCCTATAGTTTGCTCTGTGTTTCTTATTTAGTGAGACGGTTTAGAAATTTGTCTACAAGAACATACCTTCAATTTTTCCGAATCAGTAAAATTAAAATACTTAAAATGATTATCTTGCCAAAATCAATTCACAGATTCCAATGCAGCCCTAGTTAAAAGCCCACAATATGCTTCAGATAAAATAAAAACCAACAAAATGCATATGAAACCAAAACAGACCCAGGAATAGCCAAAGTAATATTGCATAAAATGAACAATGTTAGATGGATTATCATAGCAGGTATTAAACTGCATTGTAGTTAGAGTTTTTTTGCCTGGCCCACAGTCAGGACAAATCTCTCTCACCCGCCAGTCCCAAGCCGCTCAAACCCGATCAAGTAAACACAGACATTTATATTGGTTTCAAACTGTATGGCCGTGCAGGCTTCGCGCTAGGAACCCGCCAGTAGCTCAAACCGGCAGCTGTCGCTCATTTGAGAGAGACAATTAGGAAGCTGTTTTTAGCTCTGTTTTAGAATCTTTTTTTTTAGGTTTTAGGTGGAAACTCTTGCCCCACGTTGGGCGCCACTGCATTATAGAGCTATAGTAACACGAACCACATAGCACTGGCACAAAATAGCCATGAAGACCAATGGAACAGAATCAAAGACCCACACGTTGGTACACATAACAACAGTCATCTAGTTTTTTACAAAGTTGCCAAAAATACACAATAGAGAAAAGACAGTCTATTTAACAAATGGAATTGGGAAAGCTGGGTGTCTGAATGTCGAAGAAAGAATTTAGACTCCCTGATTTATATTTATTTAAATACTGCTGCAAGCAAAATGCTACATCAACCATTGTTATTTCTAAAATTGGACAATGAGGGAAAGGTACTAAATTTTTAATATAATGTAAGATTTGATTAGGCTATGCCATTTGTGAAAGGTATTGGAAGGGTACAAATTAGCTGAAATTAAGGAAAATTTATCACAGTATATCTTTTGAATTATGGTGAATCTTGAGGTTAGTTTTTTGTAGTTGGAAGATTTCCTGTGTCCCAGCCTGCTGGCAGTCAGAACAAACCTCTCCTACAAGTGTCCCCAGCTAAACACACAGAGGATTATATTAATTATAACTGCATGGCCATGGCTCAAACTTTTTGCTAGCTAGCTCTTATATATTAAATTAGCCCATAACTATTAATCTATGTATCATTACATGTTCTGTAGCTTTATCTGCATCCCATTACACATTGCTCCTTGGGAGGCTTACTGGTATCTCTCCCTACCTTCTTCCTGTCTCTCTGTTTGAATTTTCCACCTGCCTCTAAGCTGCCTTGCCATAGGCCAAACAGCTTTATTTATCAACCAATTAGAGCAACACGTTTTTACAGTGTACAGGAAAACATTCCCCCATCAGTTTTTTTTTTGTTGTTGTTGTTGTTTGTTTTTTGTTTTTCACAACAGGGTTTTTCTGTGTAGCTTTGTGCCTTTCCTGGATCTCACTCTGTAGACCCGGCTGGCCTCGAACTCACTAAGATCCACCTGCCTCTGCCTCCCGAGTGCTGGCAGTTTTTGATGTGTGTTGCAGTGCAAGTGCTGGTGTAGGGATTTCATTATTTCTTGAATTAGTGTTTCTTCAAGGAAACAAGTTAGGATACTAACTACTACTAGTGCTAAAAGTACTAATACTACCAATATCATTATTATTATTATTATTATTATTTGGATGTGATATTGTTGGTGTAAGCACATGCATGACATAAAAAGAGGACAGATGATTCTGGGACTTGGTTCCTTCCTTCACCATGGATTCTGGGTATTGAACTTGGTTTCTCAGGCTTAAGCAACAGTCACTTTCCCTTGTAGAGCCTAGTTACAGGACCTAGGATTCTTTTTAAGTAATCTCAGCATTGTTTAGTAAGGGAATGAGGATTTACATATAAATCAGCCATTTGTTCTCTGTTTTCACATGGTGTTTTCTAAGCCTGAAACTATAGCACTGTCACCATGCAAGACGGTCAGTAATCATTTTTATCACTGTTCCGTGTTCCCAGGGCATATGTCATAATTTCCAAAAGTCACTCAAATTCCTGTGTCATTTTTCTACTCTTTTTTGTCTATCCTAGAAGATTAATTGCTGATCCCTAAGTCAGTGAGACTATCAAACTCATCATTGGAAGACTTTTAAAGTGGGACACTTAGTCTTTTAAATGTACTTTTTCAGAAATGATACCTCAGATACAGTAGATACTGCTTTAGTAGCAGATTACTCTAATTATATTATTATAGACTTGCTTTGTAATGAACAAAACTAGGTAATTTATAAAAATAAAAGCACAGCGAATCAAATTGTTCAGTATTCTCAAGTTGTCTCCTGCGGGTGCTGTGGCTGGTGCCAGTGTGTTCTTGTAGTTTATCTGAACTGCTTTGTGTTTTACCTTGTGAGTGAAGTGTATGAGTAAGTACTCAAAGGAGGAATTGTACAAGAACTCCATTTCTGTGACTGTTAGCCTCCCTGGTAACTCAGTCAGCTGTACTAAAACAAAACAGAAATATTTTTAATCACCAAGGTGATTTAGAATAATCTGACTCAAAAGCATAAGTGGAGGTGGTTAGTGTGGTTAAGGAATGTCTAATTCCTAATCGGTACCAATAGATGTTAGGCTTCTATACCCTCCCAGCATCCTGGTTGAAATAGCTCTATTTCCCCTGATACTTATTGTTTGAAGGTACATTGCTAGAGTAGCTTACTTATATTTAAAATGGAGAATTCTATTTGAATAGTTCAGTACCCAACCTGTCTATAAACCAAGGAAGAAATATAATTTATACTCATATAATTATTAATAGCTTATTTGTAAATAATCTAAGTATCTAAATGATTGTATTTTTCTCTGAACCTAATTTTTATATTAGTGGTTGTTAAATGAATATCATTACAATGCTGGTATTATTAGGAAGGGGACTTTCTTGATTTTATATTTCTTCTCACATAAAAATTCTTTTTATTCATTTAAAAAAAAAACTTGAAACTAAATTTACCCAAGGTCACATGAGTCTCAACTGGAAGTGATGGAAATGTACCCTCTTTTAAGTTCATTAACACTGAATTTTAATTCAATCTCTTTACAAGTATAGACAGATTTGAATTTAAAGACGTTGAGACGTGTATACAGATACTAACTTTCACACTTTATAATAAACTGCTAATGT